AGCTTTCCCTCACAAAGGAAAATGCCCTGGTGCAGCTTTTGCAAACCGTTTCAAGTCCTTGAATTTAACTGATTCTTGGGTCTGTTATCCTCTGTCAGATGGCTTTGACCACAATTTGATTACTATTCTCTTATTCTTTCTGAGAAGTCTATCAGAAACAGCAGTGAATGGCCTCAGCTTCTTCATTTCCCATGCAAAAACTTGTCAACAGCTTGTAGGTATTGCCTGTAGACAGTCCCATAGCTGTCACTTAGGTATTTTGTGGTGATGGATGAAACAGGACAGGAAAGATTGGACTGACTTCCACCATGTGGTACCTACAAAAACAAGGACTCTCAATTATTCAAACTGAACTAGGAATCCTAAGGTGTGTCAGTGATTGGGAGGCCATGTTGGAGGCATGGTCAACCTGTGCCTTATGAGTACTATGAGTGCCATTTCGGTGGAGGTAGGGGCAAAGGGTTTACCCAGCAAATGCAAACAAGACTTTATTTCCAGGGCACTCAATGCTCCCTGACTATACTTCTTGTAATGTCTACCTCCAATTTTGTTTTTCTTTTAAAAAGTCATTCTGGCTATTGCAGATCCTTCCTATTTCCAAATGAATTTTAGTGTCAGGTTACAAATTGCTTCACAAAAGCCTGATGGTATTTTCAATGGAATTGCATTGGATTTATAGATCAATTTGGGGAGAACTGACATCCTAACATTATTAAATCTTCTGATTCACGAACACAGTGTATCTTCATTTATTTAGGTCTTTTTATTTTCTCTCAGCAATTTTTTTGTAGTTATCATTGTAACTTTTTACCTTATTGAGTGCTGGAAGGTTTTGTATGCCTATAAATATTCTTGAGTTGTGTTTTGGCTCTCAACTAAGTTACTGGAAACATTCAATCCTTTCAGGTCTTACTTTTAAGCTTTGTTTGACAGGTCCAGAGGAGTGTTTAGTGTAAGACTGTTTTTGAACCCTTCCTGAGGCAAAATCTTTTGAGCACTTTACTCACTGCCTCTTAAATTATAAAACTTTTGACTCTACCTGGTGGTAACGTGAAATATTCTGAGCTCTTTGTGGGCACTGAGTACCATATCCTATCATGCTTCCAGGTGGTCCTTTTCCCTGGCCTTGGATAGTTTTCATACATGTATACAGTGATCATTACCCAGATGAAGACTAAAGGGGTGCCCTAAAGATTTATGGAGCTCTCTTTGTTCTTTAATTTCTTCTGTAGGATTCTCCTCTTTGAACTCTGGCTTCCTTGGCCTTCCTGGACACCTCCTTCCCTCAACTCAGAGACCGCTAGAAGCTGCCTGGGTTTTCTATTCTTTGTATCATGACTTGGAACCACCTGTCTTCAGGCAGTAAGCTTAGGAAATCACAGGGCTCATCTTGTCTGTTTCCTGTTATGCAGGGGTCATTATCATTCATTATCTGATAACCAAGGTATCAAAATTCATTGTTTCATAGATTTTGTCTGATTCTTTACTTGTTCCAGACAGGAGGTTAAACCCAGTTGCTGTTACTCCATCTTGGGTGGAAGGAGAACCCTTCACATAAACCCAGTTGCTGTTACTCCATCTTGGCTGGAAGCAGAACCCTTCACATTATCCCTTGAAAGATAATATGTATGGTATGTGTCCATGGCACAAGGTCTATGATTTAATTTAAATTAACTTTCAGGTGTGGCATGAGGCAGGGGTCATGGATAATTTTTTTTTCTCTCAATGATATCAGTTTTCATTTTCATTGTTGGAAAGATTTTTCTTTCCCCATTGAAGTACACTGGTACTGTTTAAAATCAATTGACTTTACATATGTGGATATATTTCTTAACCCTCTATTTGTTCCATTTTTGTCTATCTTCGTGTAATATACTATCTTACTATAACTTTATAACTCCTGTAGTATATGTCATTTAAATATTTGCTCATTTTTTTCAAGATTGTTTTGGTTCTAGCCTTTTTCATTTCCATATAAATTGCAAAATTATTTTCTTGATTTCTAGAAAATAATCTGCTTGGATTTTGATCATAGATGCATTTAATCCATAGATAAATATTGATAGACATTTTAGCAATATTGGGTCTTCTAATCCATTAATATGGTATATAATCTCCATTTATTTGGATCTTCTTTAATTTCTCTCAGTAATGTTATATAGTTTTCACTGTAGATGTCTGGAAATTGTATTGTTGTCTGGAAATACAGCTTTATTTCTTTCATTGAAATCATTATGCCTTTATTTCTTTTTCTTGCCTTATTGCACTCCAGTATAATATTGAATAGACATAGTGAGAGCAAATATCCTTGCCTCCTTCCGATCTTAAGGAAAAATCAACTTTTCACTCTTAAAAATGATGCTAGCTGGAGATAGTTCACAGATGTCCTTCATCAGATGAAAAAGTTCCTCTCTATTCATAAGTATTGTTTGTTTTCAAAGAATAATCTATTCATGTCACAGACTCAAACCATTGCAGAATTTGATATTACATGCTTAAATTTATTAACTTTTTAAACTTCTTTGCTTTACATTGTCAGCACTGATAACTTTTCTATGGTTCTTAGCTGTGCTGACTATTAAGGCTACAGATATGAATGGTGAACTTTTGGCTAGACTCATGCTGAGAGTTTTGCTAATGTATGCTAACTTGACAACTTGACCATTAAGATTTTACCAACAAAATAAGAAATGACTAGATATAATCCATTTTCAGGGTTCTAAAAATAACTGAAATTGGCTGTGTTAAATCTAAGGTCTTCTTTTATCTCTCCTGATTTTTAGTTCTATCTTTCCTATCCCTTTCATTTACAATGGTTTTGGGAGATTTTGAATTTAGCAATTCAATTCTTTCTAAACTACTTTCTTAATTTTATTGCCAACTTTAAAAAATTGTTGGTGGAAAGTTTAATAAATCTGATCATTTATATGTACATTTTCTTTATTACTGACATAAAACACACATACTGAAAAGTGCACAAATAAGCATATGCCTTCATGATTTTCTTTTTTTCTTTTCTAGATAGAGTCTTGCTCTGTTGCCCAAGCTGGAGTACAATGGCACAATCTCGGCTCACTGCAACCTCCACCTCCTGGGTTCAAGTGATTCTCCTGCCTCAGCCTCCCAAATAGCTGGGATTACAGGCACCCGCCATCATGCCCGGTTAATTTTTGTATTTTTAGTAAAGATGGGGTTTCACCATGTTGACCAGGCTAGTCTCAAACTCCTGACCTCAAGTGATGCACCACCTCAGCCTCCCAAAGTATTGGGATTACAGGTGTGAGCCACTGTGCCCGCCTGCCTTCATGAATTTTTGAACGCACCCAGAAAGAGCAGAAGACAACATTTCTGGCACTCCAGAAAATGTCTTGTTTTCCCTTTCCAGGCAACCCCAGTGGTAACTCCCAGTGGTGTGCTGGAGCTAGCCTACACCAGCTCTTGGGAGCTGATAAATTTTCAGGAATCTCTGATGAGGCATTCAGATTTTACTGGAAAATTAGAAATAATTAGATACAATCAATTTTCAGAGTTTTAGAAAATAGTTTAAATCTATTATGTCAAATCTAAGGTCTCCTTTAAATCTGGTTTTTAGTTTTAGTTCCATCTTTCCTATTCCTTTCATTTACACACAGGCATTATTAACAATTAAATTATATCAATTAATATTTTATTTTAGTAATATATTTTATAAGCTGATATATTAAAAATAGTATTTCAACGCAATCAATATAAAATTATTGAGATATTTACATTCTTTTTTATTTTCATAGCAACCCTTTGACGTGTATTGTATATGTTACATTCATAGCACATACCAGTTGGACCAACACGTTTAAGGTGTTCAGTAGCCACCTGGGGTTGTGGCTCCCACATTGGATAGCACAGTTGAAACCCTACATTGCTTTATTTACCACTAAGCAATATGTTTTCAACTTTGTTTCAAAGCTCTTAGATCTTTCAGTATTTCATAATGTAAGCCCCTTCTATTTCAAGGACTATGTAGTAATACATACTCACACTTGAATGATGCTACTAAAGCTTCCCCTTCCTCACTTTTTTCCTTTCAAATTTAGATTTTCTGTTGCCTGGAAAATGCATATGAACCAGTTCAACAAGTAAATTGATCTCCCCTGCCGCCCCCTACCACAGTCTATATGTGTATTTTTCTTTTTTTTTTTGTACTTTTAAGTTCTAGGGTACATGTGCACAACGTGCAGGTTTGTTACATATGTATACATGTGCCATGTTGGTGTGCTGCACCCATTAACTCGTCATTTACATTAGGTATATCTCCTAATGCTATCCCTCCCCCCTCCCCCCATCCCACAACAGGCCCCGGTGTGTGATGTTCCCCTTCCTGTGTCCAAGTGTTCTCATTGTTCAATTCCCACCTAATAAGTGAGAACCAATTAATATTTTAAAATATTAAAAACATTTTACTTTGTTCAACTTAAAGACAAAATTAATATATTTCTTGAGGTCAAATTATCGAAAAAAACTCTATCTTGTAAAATTGCATATTAAAGCAGTGCGTGGAAGCTGATGGCAAGAAACCACTTAAGTGTCACAACTCTGCTTCGAGTTAATTCCTAGTCCATTTGATTTTGTTTTGCTTTTAAGATCACAAAGCTGATGTACACTTCCGTGCGAGCTTAGAGTCTGGTAATGAACTCCACAATACACTGAAAAGAGCTTGAGGAGATAGCAGATGAATGAAGGACTGGGGCTCCGGTTTTGCAGGCGAAGCCCAGGTTCTTAAAGGTCCAGGTTCTTAAAGGTCCTACCAGGCCTGTATTTTATTTCTCCTTCGCAGGCCTCTAGGCCAAATGCCTCGATGAATCTGCGCTCCGCGGGCGTCCCGGAATTACACATCGGAAAGAATAAGGAAGGAGGAGGCCGACGTGCCCATGGACATTATCAACCTTCCGTCAGATCCCCACAGCAGCCAAACTGCGTCTCCTCTGCCGCTCTTGGCGCGCAGCTCACGCCCGCAGCGTCAGCGACGTCGGCGGCGCCAAGGCGTCGTGGCGTCGGGCGTCTGGGACGTGGCATCAACGGCCCCATCCGGCGCCGGCGGCGGGCGCCCGGCGGTCTTTGCTGCCGCCCGGGGGCGCAGAGGCCGGGCCTTTTCTTTCAGCACAAACGTCAGTTTGTAAAAGGGTGGGGCTGGAGTCTGAGGAGTTTTCAGGCTTCTGTCTCGAAGGAAGTCTGGCAGGCTCGGAATTGCCATCTTCCTCAGGCAAATAGTTTTTCACCTTAGAGCCAGCCTTGGCAAGGCCAAACCGCCCAGTCACCCGACTTCCCACAGTCTCAGCAGGTACACAGGGCCGGGAGCCTCGCGAGCGGCTCTCTCAGCCGGACCTGAGGGTTTCGGGAGAGTCCTGGGTTTGCACTTAGTTTTCCCGCTGCGTGGCTGCCTCCGTGACGGTTGTGCTGCTTTTTATGCAAGATCTGGGATCGAAGGCAAATCATCCTTTCCCTACGCCCCCTGCCGACCCTTGCCGCTCTCCTCGATTTTGTACACTGTCATTAAAGGGTTTGAAATGAATGTACATTAATCCTTGAAGGATGAAACCAGAAAACATTTGTCGTGGTGGCGGAAAGGGACAGATGCACTTGGGCGAAGTAATGCTGACATCCACTTCCTAGCATTGTTAGGAGGGATAAATGAATTAAATATGTAAAATCCTTAAATATTTGCTTGCTAATACAAGTATTCATTGCGTGTGACTCTATTTTTGTATTTATGTGAACTTCATCGGAGCATTTGTCAGGTTCTTTTTTCTCTTTTTTTTTGCACTAAGTGAGCGTGGCCGGCCGGCCGGCCTGCCTTCCTGCCTTCCTTCCTTCCTTTCCTCACACTTTTTTGGGGGGAGAGGACACAATGCAATCCATAATACACTTGTTCTTTTTTCCATCGAACTTTCCTCTTGACCATGTTTTCTTCTAGTAATACTCTATTTCTTTCCTCCCTTTTGTAGTAAAATTTGTCTACAGTGGTTGTATTCAATTATTTGTTCTTACTTCCTTTCTTTTGAACGGTAAGTCAGATATTTACCTCGATCATTCTACTGAAATTGTTGCCGTTCTGTTCTTCAGGTTACAAATGACCTACCTCCATGTTGCCAAATCCAGTGTCAGCTCTTAGTCTTCATTTTACTTGACTCAGCATTTGACATAGTTCATCGCTCCGTCCTTGGTGACATTTTCTTTTCCTTGCTTTCTATGTATATGTGCCCTTTTGGTTTTACTTATTGGCTCATTGGCCACTCTTCTTACATCCTGTTTGCTGGTCCTGATGGTTTTGGTGGAATTTTTGATGTTTGCTTGGACCTGATGGTTTTGATGGAGTTTCTTTGGCAATGTAATTTATTCAGAATTCTTTTGAGGCTTTTCAATTTTGTAAATTTAATCTTGGTTTCTGCATCATTTTGCTTGTAACATTAATTTTTACTTAAAGCATCATGTCACAATCGGTATGAGAATAATGTAAAAGGGGGCAGTCACGGTGGCTCAGGCGTGTAATCCCAGCACTCTGGGAGGCCGAGGTGGGCGGATAACCTGAGGTCAGGAGTGTGAGACCAGCTTGGCCAATGTGGTGAAACCCTGTCACTACTAAAAATACAAAAATTAGCTGGGCGTGGCAGCGGGTACCTGTAATCCTAGCTACTCGGGAGGCTGAGGCAGGAGAATCGCTTGAACCCGGGAGGCGAAGGTTGCTGTGAGCCAAGATTGCTCCATTGTACGCCAGCCTGGGTGACAAGAGTGAAACTCTGTCTCAAAAAAAAAAAAAAGAAAAAAAAAAATGTAAAAGGGAATATTTTGCAGGGGCTTTGGTTCAAGTGCTATAATGTATGTATTTACTATTATCATCAGTAGTTTCCAGTAGAGCATTGTGTTCTTCCTTCAAATGGATTTTTAGTGACACTGGTATCAAGTTATCTTTGCTAAGTGATATTTGACTATGATTTAAAAATTATGCTTGATGACTATGCATTCAATTAACTATAGTGTATCATCAAAACAAAAAAGCAGTTGTATAATTCTTGGATGAAATAAACATTTTCAGTGCTATTAAGATATTTTCATTCGGCCGGGCGCGGTGGCTCAAGCCTGTAATCCCAGCACTTTGGGAGGCCGAGGCGGGTGGATCACGAGGTCAGGAGATCGAGACTATCCTGGCTAACATGGTGAAACCCCGTCTCTACTAAAAATACAAAAAACTAGCCGGGCGTGGTGGCGGGCGCCTGTAGTCCCAGCTACTTGGGAGGCTGAGGCGGGAGAATGGCGTGAACCCGGGAGGCGGAGCTTGCAGTGAGCCGAGATCACGCCACTGCACTCCAGCCTGGGAGACACAGCGAGACTCCGTCTCAAAAAAAAAAAAAAAAAAAAAAAAGATATTTTCATTCTATTGTTTACAACCTAGTTTAAAGAATGTAACAGCAAGTTGTATAAAATGTCTTAGAATTTTAGTTTTTGCGAATTTTCTGTTTGTGCTTGTCAGACGTATTTAAGGGCATGTATCCCTGGCCCCATATATATTATATGTTTTTAATTTTAATTTTTTTATAAGTAATCTCTTAAACATGTATATGATTCTTTTCCAGCGGGGTGTCATCATCTACTTGTTAAAATCCTAATAAATGTTCACATATTGAAATATCTGGATTTTGGAAATTCATAATTACATCAACAATTGTTATCTGCTGTCCATGTGTCCAAAGTAATTGAGAAATTATTAGTTTTTAAAACTTTATTCAAAGTGATTTTATTTATAACATCTGTAAGTTGTATTATTTGTTTTTATATGTTATTCTCTGAAATAGTATATTATACTATTTGGTATTGATATTTGTGTTTTGCATAAATCAACTTTTGCCGTGATTTCTGGCAAATAAAAAAATACTATTATTGGTCTTTTATTATTTATTGGATGATCTTCTGAATATTAGATACTGCTTCTCCAAAAATTCAATCATGTTTATTGTTATTAACAAATATATAGGCCTTTATTTTCTCATTTTCAGTAGAATTGCTAATTATATTTTTTTCAAACCTGCTACTAACTTTTAATACTTATCACTATTGATGTGTATTTTATTAATGTTCAACAATATGTGATAAATGCTGCTGATCTTTGCATCATTTTTTATTCTTCAGCTGGATTATTCCTCAACCGTTTTTGTTCTTTGCATCAATTTTTATTCTTCAGCAGTATTATTTTGTGATTACTTGTGCTATTTTATCTATTATATTTTTCATTTTTTAATATTTTCACTTGGGTCTTAAAAATACCTCTTATACCTGTTTTATATGGCTAATATTCTCTTTCTGTGTGTTTATATATTTTTAGTCTCTCTGTTTTAATGATTCTACAACTAAAACATGTTTTTTAGTTTCTTATTTTTATATTTATTTGTTTATTTGAGATGGAGTCTTGCTATATCCCCTAGGCTGGAGTGCAGTGGTGCAATCTCAGCTTGCTGCAACTTCCGCCTCCTAGTTTAAGCGATTCTCCTGCCTCAGCCTCCCGAGTAGCTGGGACTACAGGTGCCCACCACCACGCTTGGATAATTTTTTGTATTTTTAATAGAGACAGGGTTTCACCATGTTGGCCAGGCTGGTCTCGAACTCCTGGCCTCAGGTGATCCACCCGCCTCTGCCTCCCAGAGTACTGGGATTACAGGTGTGAGCCAATGCGCCTGGCCTATTTTTATTTTTTAATGGTTGTTTTTTTCAGTTGTCAAGTAGTTTTGGCCTGTGAACTCATATACCCTTGGGGTGTCACCTACTTTATCTGATAATCTATTATTAGGAAATGATCAAAAGCCAGTTCCCAGCCTGTGTTCCTCCTGGAAGTTTAGGGAAAGTATGTGGGTGTGTTTGTTTTTGAAGTGCTAGATATTTCCTGTGGTCTGAATGCTTGGGTCATCCCCAAATTCGCATGTTGAAATTGGACCCCAGTTCAACGTATGGTAGAATTAGGAGGTGGGCCCTTTAGGAGATGATTAGGTCATGAGTAAAGCACCTTCATAAATGGACCTAGTGCACTTATAAAAGAGGTCTGAAAAAGCTCCCTTGCTCCTTCCATCATGTGAGGACACAGAGAGAAGGCACCATTTATTTGGCGTCTGGGCTTTCATCAGACACCAACTCTGCTGGTGCCTTGTCGTTGGACTTTCCTGTCTCCAGAACTGTGAGAAATAAATGTTTCTTGTTTATAAGCTATGCAATTTATAGTGTTTTGTTATAGCAGCCTCAACAGACTAAGACATTAGTGCTGCTGTAACAAAGTACCACAAACTGGGTGGCTTAGAACAACAGAAATTTATTATTTCATAATTCTGGAGGCCAGAAAACTGAAATCAAGGTTTCAGCAAAACCATGTTCCCTGCTGAAGGCTCTAGGGAAGAATCTCATTGGTTTTTATAAGCTTCTGGTGGATGTTAGCAATCCTTGATATTCCTTAGCTTAGAGGTGCATCACTTTAATTTCTGCCTGTCGCTATACGGTCTTCTTGTAGTGACACCAGTAACTGGATTTAGGACCCATCTTAACTTTATCATAGCTGCAAAGGCCCTATTTTCAAGTAAGGTCACATTCAAAGTGCTGGGGGCTTAGGACTTGAACATATTTTTCTCAGGGACATAGTTCAACACATAACAATGGGACAAGCTGAAGTACAGAGAGCTTCAGATAACAGAGTACCAGTGTTACGTTACTTTATCTTAATTTTGCCACTGTACTTGACAATTTCCATGGTTAGGCTTATACTTTTAAACTATTTGGGAGGTGGCATTGTCCTGAGTCTTAGTCAGCTTTGAGGGGAGAGAAAAATAGAGGAATAAAAGCCTAAGACCTATCTAGTTTATACTTTCTTAGCATAGCTTTGATGCTGCCTTAATATTACCCTAATGATACCTTGGGCCAAGACTACTGCTCCTGTGGGAATAAAGATGTATATTAAGGACATATATTAGCTCAAATATGGGAGAAAAGTAGGAAGAAAATGTAATTTTTTTTTCCTGAGTGTATTCTCTCATTGTTGCTTCTGGCTTCTTCAGTCCCTATATTCGTATCCTAAATGCCCCATAAACAAATTAGCCTTCGTTTAGGGGTTTCTTACAGTTAAAATTTTTTTTGTTCTTGTTGTTTTCTGTTGTTAGGAATATTTTCCTTTCTATTTTTCATTTTTTCAAAGTTGATTTTAGGATTCACCATCTTCATGGCAATTGATAATCCTTTTATCATTTTAAATCTGAAATGTTTTCATCTACAACCCTCCTTACTTACAGGAAATGCTATAAGTCCTATAGGTAAAATAACCCAACATTTTCCATATGGAGAGCAAAGGGTATAGAAAAGAAGCAAGATTTGTAGCCAATTTGACCTATGTTGTAATTCTGAAAAATTTAGCACTTATTAGCTGTGTGACTCTTGGTTAGTCACTTAACTCGTCTGAGCTCAGTTTACTCTCATGTAAAATGGAATAATGCTGTACATAAAGGGCATACCTTAGATTAAAAACGATAGAGCTTTTACTGTTATTGTTATTATACTTAGGTTTAAATAACTTCTTGATATACGTTAGATATTGTGATAACTGCATTCTATTTTTCTTTGTTTTGTTTGAGTAACTGTGACTCAAAAAAGCCTGAAGTGTAATTGTAGCTTCCAGAAGTTGCTTAATGTACTCTGAGCAAATTGCTAAAGCATCAGAGAAAGAGAAATGTAGTATGTGAATTTAATTAGAGCCTGGTGTTTTCTCTGAATCTCTTTTAATTTTTTTTCACAGGGAGGAATAAATTTTTTTCATCTATAATTTGGAAGCCAAGTCGTAACAAAATGAAACCAGTAAAGCATCTGTTGACCACCAGTAACAAATCGGCAACTCTTCCAGCATTAACCAGCAAAAAAGGACTACATAATTTACCACTATCACCTAAACTGAAGGAAAAACATAATGCAAAGTTAATTCATGATAAAATTGAACCAATGGTCCTGAGATCTCCACCAACAGGAGAATCCATTGTACGGTATGCTTTGCCCATTCCATCGAGTAAGACAAAGAACTTACTACCAGGAGATGAAATGATTGGAAAAATTATCAAACATCTGAAGATGGTAAGAGGCTTGTTAGTTTCTGTGTTGCAGGGACCCCATGATCACCCCAGGTTTGGTGATATTCTAGGAGAACTCACATGACTCCACATATAGTCATACTGATGGTTAAGATTTATTACAGTAGGCACATTAGGTGAAATTAGGAGAAAACCAGATCTAAGCTTGCAAGAGTCTTTTCCCCTTAGAGTCACCCAGGACATGCTTAATTTCTTTAGCAATGAATTGTGACAACACATATGAAATGTCTGTTGGGGAAAATCATTAGAAACTTAGTGCCCTGGGATTTATTGGGAGTTTACTATTCACTCTGTGCTTAGCATGTACGAAAATTTCAGACTCTCACAAGGAAAGGAGGTTCAGTATAAACCACATTATACAAACAGTTTAGGGACAGTGAGCTCCTGTCAGTGAATGGGGAGAACCCTCCTGATATCCAAGTTCTCAGATGCCAGGTTAAGGCCAACCTTGCAAGCAGGCCTTCCTAAGTCCTGCATTTCTACTATGTTAAACTCCGCATTTCAGAAACTTTAGCTCTTTTTTTGTTTCTTGAAATGAAGTCTCGCTCTTTTGCCCAGGCTGGAGTGCCGTGGCATGATCTTGGCTCACTGCAACTTCTGCCTCCCGGGTTCAAACAATTTTCCTGTCTCAGCCTCCCGAGTAGCTGGGACTACAGGAGCATGCCACCACGCCCGGCTAATTTTTGTATTTTTAGTAGAGATGGGGTTTCACCATACTGGTCAGGCTGGTCTCAAACTCTTGACCTCAGGTGATCCACTCGCCTCAGCTTCCCAAAGTGCTGCGATTACAGGTGTGAGCCACCGCACCCAGCCGAAACTTTAGCTTTTGATGTGGGGAAAAATTTTACTTTTTCTGAGTTTCTTTTTTTTTCACCGCGATCCAGAATTGAATTGTAAATGTACCAAATATCAAGTGAGAATGATGAGGAAGCGCACAAATATAAAAAAAAGATACAGTACATCAAACTTGTACAGTACAAGTTTGTTGAAAGTTTGAGGGGTTAGGCCAGATAATTTTCTTTAAAAATTCATTGCTTTCTGGTCTCCATCTTTCAATATTCCCTAACTCTCTTTGGAGGAGAAAATCAAGGCAGACTTTGAAGAAACCTCTACTTAATGCTTCAAGCACTCATGGACAGGCCCTCTCCGTTTTAAGATACCTATCAACACAGAAATGTTAGAGTCACAGAGCATCTCTCTTTTGCTAGGGAGTAAGGTTAAGGAATATTGCTTTTTCCTCATGATGACATGAAATTGGGTATGGGATGGAAAATTTAAGTTTGTGGCACTGGAAGAAATAAGTCTTACTGGTAAAAAGGTCCTGGCATAATTGATTGACTATTATTTACATTTAATGTAGTTAATTTTAAACTATTAAAGTATCAAATTGGCTTTGATTTTTTTTTTTTTTTTTACAGGTTGTTTCCACTTTGGAAGAAACCTATGGACACTGTGATCAGAATGGAGAAGAACCATTTGTAAAGCGTGAAAATGAAGAATTATCTTTATCTGTAAGTATATGCAACCCTAATATAGAGACATTAACACTGAAAAGGGTCGATTTTCTTTTCAAAAATATAAATTTAAAATATTTTCTTTTGGATTACTTATATGTTCTCGGAATGAATTTCCCATCTATGAAAATGATCCTCTTAGAAAATTACTCAACCCAACCAAATCCCTCTTGACCTGAATTTTGCCAAGAAGGTTGCAGAAAAGGAGTTCTACATACCCATTAGGAATGACCAAAATTTTAAAGATAGACAATAATCAAGTTTTGGTAAAGATACGGGGCCACTGGAACTCTCATACAGAGCTGGTGGGAACACAAATGGGACTGCTATGTTGAGAAACAGTTTGACAGCTGCTCATGAAGTTTAACATATACTTAAAAGATAACCACCAGTTCTACTCTTAAGTGATTATCCAAGATTAATGAACACATACATCCTCACAAAGACTTGTATATAAATGTTTATAGAAATTTTGTTCATAATAGCCAGAATAGCTACTGAATCCAGCAACCCAAATATTTACTAACTGGTGAATGGACAAGCAAATTGTAGTATAGCATACAATGAAATACTCTTCACAATAAAGGAAACAAACTACTGACACATAGAACCATGTGGATGAATCTCAAAAACATTAGGATGTGGGGAAGCTAAATAAATAGGGCTGCATACCATATGATTGTATTTATATGAAATTCTGGGAAAGGGAAAACTGTAGTAAAGGACCAGTGGTTGTCTTGAGCTAAGGTAGGAGGGGAGAATTGACTGCAAAGGAGTACAGTGAAGCTTTTTGAAATAATGGAAATGTTTTATATTTTTATTGTGGTGGTCATTACCCAACTATTAAAAGGACTGTGTAATCACAATCCTTATCCTGCACGACCTTGTGGTTATTATGTTTTGAAGCCCTGCCAGGATTGAATCAAAGAACCAAAACTAAACTCTAAAATTGAAGTTCAAAAGAAACGGGAATGACTAGAGGTGGGAGGGAAGTGGGGTAAGGGTTGAAAAACTAGCTATTGGGTACTGTGCTCAGGACTTGGGTGATGGGATCATTGATACCCCAAACCTCAGCATCGAGCAATATATCCAGGTAACAAACCTTCTCATGTACCCACTAACTCTAAAATAAAAGTTGAAAAAAAAAACCACCAACAAATAAAATAAAATAAAATGAAATTAAGTTCACATTCCTGTGGTCTCCAATACTGAAAAAATTGAAGAAATCAGCCCTTCGGATACCGCCTTTATTTTACTGAATTTCTTTCCTCCAATGATCTTGTATTTTATTTTACCTCAACCACTAATTGACAGAGTGATATCCTGTATTCTTTACCATAACTGTTTCAGAATTTGAATTTCAGTCATCCTAATCTCTGGCCACTACCTCCTGTCTTTCCCACTCAGTCTGTCCAAAATTCTGACTCCAAAAATCCTTTGATTTCACAGGGAACCATAATCCATTGGTCCTGCTGCCTTTTTAGTGTCCCAAATCCTCCTTGTGCCCTTACTTACCCAGCTTAAATAGCATGGTCCACTATTGTTATCACTCCCTTTCATGCGTACTTAACTCTCTTGCCCTGTTCTGCTTTATTGGTCTTATTTGTTAAATTATAAACTCAGTCAAATCAATCTCTATCTTCTCTATATTTCTCTATCTTCTCTATATTTGTGGCACCTGAATGTGGGTGGAAGAAGTGGGCTAATGGTTTCCCTTTATATTTGTGATTAGTAACACTAATCTGTTCATTTTCCTCTCTGCTGGATTATTTTAGTTTTTTTTCCCTGTCTCCTTTATGATTAAAGGTCTTTATTGTGTCAAAAAGTATGTGAGCCTCTCGGTATATTTATTTATTTATTTGTTTGTTTTATTTTATTTATTTTTATTTTTTTGAGACAGAGTCTTGCTCTGTGACCTAGGCTGGAGTGTGGTGGTATGATCTTGGCTCACTGCAACTGCTGCCTCCTGGATTCAAGCGTTTTTCGTGCCTCAGCCACCCACATAGCTGGGATTACTGGTGTGCGCCACCACGCCCAGCTAATTTTTTTGTATTTTTAGTAGAGACAGGATTTCGCCATGTTGGCCAGGCTGGTCTTGAACTCCTGACCTCAAGTGATCCACCTGCCTCAGCCTCCCAAAGGGCTAGGATTACAGGTGTGAGCCACCGCACCTGGCTCAGTATCTTTAAATGTAATGCTCAGGGAATACATTCTTCATGGAGAACCACTCTATGAAAATTCTAACTGTATATAAGCCTGTAATATTTGTTTATCATGAGTCAATTCTCTGATTTACAAATCACTGCTTTACTAGAAGGGATTTGATCATTATGATATTTAAGCTGTAACTGTTTTTTTCCTCAAAGTTTTACATTGCCCATTAGGTGAGAGCAGAAGACTGCAGTTCATGGCAAGTATACAGTTAGATGTCATAGGTAGTAGTCATAGGCTGGGATGCTGGATTTTCTGGAACTGTGTAGAGATGAATGAGAGGAGAGACATAGCTGGGTATATGTCACCGATGGGCCACTTCCCAGAATGTACTTTCTTCCATGTTTTCTCTCTGGGAGAATTTGCAAGTATGACATTTGAAGCATGGCTTCTTGCCGTAAATGTTTGAAGGGACGTAAATTAAGCAAAGTTAAAATTTTTCAAAAAGTAAATATGCTAGAAAAAGACAGACATGCATATGGACTCTTAAATAAAAGTAACTTTATGTTTTATTATTCTTTTCAAAAGATTGGGGATGATATGAATTCATTCTTGACATGTTGTTCACAATTTGCAACTCAGCTAGAAACAGCACTTAAAGAAGAACAAAATGTATGTATTCTGTATATACGGCCAAGTATAAAATATCAGACTTGTACTGGTTGTTGAAAATTGAATCTGCTATACAGTCAGCCAACATTAACCTAGATTCAGTGTCTTAAGAAATTATAAATGGCATTGGAAAGCATTATTTATTTATTTTTTATTCTTTTTTTAAATCATCATCAAGGGTTTTTACTATGCCCAAATGCAAAGATTATGCCACTGAACCACCACAAATAAGACATGAACTTTAAATTAATTCTTCAATAGTTGTGTGAATCTTAATGAATCTGCCATATTCCCTCACTAAGAGCATGTAAGTAGTTACAAGGTAGTTAATAAATATTAAGGTTGTGGCAATCAGCCTCAAAGAGAGAATGATTGACCATTACAGAGAATGACCACATAATCATGGTTTAGTACCATAACCCTTATCAGTTAGCTGTGAGTAAAAGGTAAGACTGCAGTGGAATTGTTGAAATTGTCTTTTTTTCTTATAATAGAATACACTTAATTTATTGCTTTTCTTGGTAATAGTATTTAAATTGCCATGTAATAATTATACATATTTGTGGGGTACATAGTGATATTTTGATACATACAATGTGTAGTGGTCAAATTAGAGTAATTAGCATATTCATTACCTCAAACACTTATCATTTCTTTGTGATGGGAACATTCAAAATACTCTCTTCTAGCTATTTGAATACATATATATATAAAAAATAAACTGTTGTTAGCTGTGGTTACCCTATAGGGCTGTAGAACACTATAACTTATTCCTCTTATCTAACTGTAATTTTTTATCCTTTAACCAACCTCTCCCTATCCTCCCTCACCCCTACCCTTTCCAACCTCTAGTAATCATAATTCTACCCTCTGCTTCTGTGAGAGCCGCTTGTTTTAGTATTTGCATATTGGTGAGAACATGAAATATTTATCTTTCTGTTCCTGACTTATTTCTCTTAATATAATATCCTATAGGCCCATCCATGTTGCTGTGAACGACAGGATTTATTTAATTCTTTTTTGGAATTAAAAGTGAAATCTTTTTTGGAACTAAAAGCGGCTGAATAGTAGTCCATTCTCCCTATATGCCACATTTTCTTTATTAATTTGTCTATTGATGGCCATTTAGGTTGATTCTATATCTTGGCTATTGCAGTTTAGTGCTGCAATAAACATGGAAGTACAGATGTCTCTTCAGTGTACTGATTTCCTTTCCTGTGGATATACACTCAGTAGTGAAATTGCTGGATCATATGGTAGCTCTATTTGTAGTTTTTTGAGGAAACTCCATGCTATTTTTCATTATCGTTCTACTAGTTTACATTTCCACCAAAAGTGTATATGTTCCTTTTTCTCTGCATCCTTGTCAGTATTTATTTTTTGTCTTTTTGATAATAGCCATTCTAACTGAGGTGAGATGGTATCTCATTGTGGTTTTAATTTACATTTCCCTGATGATTAGTGATGATGAGCATTTTTTTCCTATACTTTTTAGCCATTTGTTTATCTTTCTTTTGAGAAATATTCAAGCCATTTACCTATTTTAAAATCAGATTTTTTTTTTGCCATTGAGTTGTCTGAATTCCTTGTATATTTTGAATATTTATCACTCGTTAGATGAATTTGTTTTACAAATATCTTTTCTCATTCTGAAGATTGTGTTTTCACTCTGTTTGTTTCCCTTGCTGTGCAGAAGGTTTTTAGTTTGATATAATACCACTTGTGTGTTTTTCCTTGTATTGCCTATGCTTTTGAGGTCTTAACCCATAAAATATTTTCTCAGACCAATGTCCTGAAGCATTTCCTCTGTTTCCTTCCAGTAGTTTCATAGTTTTGGGTTTTATATTTAAGTCTTTAAGCTGTTTTTGAGCTGATTTTTGCATATGGTGAGATATTGGGGTCTAGCTTCATTCTTCTGCCTATGGATATTCAGTTTTCCCAGCACCATTTATTGAAAAGACTGTCCTTTTCCCAATGTTCTTGGTGTTTTTGTTGAAAATTTGTTTGCTATAAATAAGTGGATTCATTTTTTGGGTTCTCTATTGGGTTCCATTGGTCTATGTGTCTGTTTTTGCGCCAGCACCACACTGTTGTGGCTACTATAGCTTTGAAGAGTATGTTGTGTGTGTGTTTGCACGTGTGTGTGTGTGTGCTTTTTTTTTTTTTTTTTTTTTTTTTTTTTTAAAGAGACAAGGTCTCACTTTTTTGGCCAGGCTGGAGTGCAGTGGCACAATCATAGCTCACTGCAGCCTCGAACTCCTGGACTTGAGGGATCCTCTTGCCTCAGCTTCCCAAGCTGCTGGGATTACAGGCATGAACCACCATGCCTGGCTAACTTTGTAGTACATTTTGAAGTCAGATAGTGTGTTGCTCCCAGCTTTCTTCTTTTTGCTCAGGATTGCTTTGGCTACTTATGGTCTTTTGTGGTTCTACATGAATTTTTAGGATTTGTTTTCTATTTCTGTAAAGAATGTCATGGTATTAATAATTAATATTGTTAAAATGACCATACTACTGAAAGCTATCTGCAGATTCAGTGAAATCCCTGTCAAAATGCTACTGGGCATAAGCCCAGTATCAATATTAATTCTTCTAATCCATGAACATAGGATGTCTTTTGTTTTTTTTTGTGTGTCTTTAATTTCTTTCATGAGTATTTTATAATTTTCATTGTAGAGACCTTTTACCTCCTTGGTTAAATTTATTTCTAGGTATCTTATATGTTATTTTGTAGCTATTATAAATGGGATTGGTCTCTTGATTTCTTTTTCAGTTAGTATATAAACATACTACTCATTTTTATATGTTGATTTTGTATTTTGCAGCTTTACTGAATTTATTCATTAATTCTGAGAAGTTTCCGGTGGAGTCTTCTATATATATAATATGTATATGCTCATCTTGTCTGCAAACAGGGACACTTTTAAGGCCCTCCACTTAGTTGCTTTTCTTCCCTAGGAGAGTTCTGAGTTAGGTGAAACTAACTCAGTTTAGTGGGAACCTCTAGAGAGCTCAAAAGTGGGAACCTCTAGAGAGCTCAAAACACTCACACAGTTTCTTGGGAATATGTCTGCTATGCTGTCTCCAGAACCACTCAAAATGAGGGTTGCTGTTTTTAAGACTTCTACTGTGCTGGAGGAGAGGGTAGGGTAAGACCGAGTTAAAATACCACACAATTCTGCTGTGGTGTTCAAGCCACATTTTATTGATGTGGCTTTACTTAGTTGCTTTAAATATTTAACTGTTTTTCAGAGTTCTAACAAAATTGGAGCATAGGGCCTTGGACTTCCCTACTGTACATTTTTTTTTTTTTTTTTTTTGCTGTTATCACTCTTCAAATACCCTAATAGTTTTTTCTTGATGCAAATTTACAATTGACTTTGAATTTTATATATATAGAATTTCAGTAGACCAAGAATAACCAAGTGAGACCTGAAGAAAATGAACACGGCGAAAGGACCTACCCTAACAGATATCAAGATTCATTATGCAGCTGTATCAATTATGATTATGTGCTTTTGGTGCAAGCCTGGATGAACTGATGAAATTGAACAAAGTCTCAGATATTGATCCTTCTGTATATGGAAAATTTTGTTGATGACAGAGCCAGCAGTATAATAAATGGCTTTGGAACAACTAGTTATTTATAAGGGGAAAAACTAATTTGATATATGATCAAATATGATACTGATATAAGTATATGACCTGGAGCAAGAAACAATCACAAAACAAATACAAATCATAAAAGGCAATATTGATAAATTCACCTATATTAAATTTATAACCTCTATTATATAAAGAATTCATAAAGAGAGGGGCAAGAGAAATTTCAAATTGGGTCAAAATTTGGATCATGTATACCTGACGTATATGTGTATTTAATCACATAAAGGATTATCTAGATTATATAATGTCTACTTATCAGTAAGTAAAAGATTAAACAAATCATTACGAAATAAAAAGGCATTTCACAGTGGATCAGTTTTTATTTTTCACTCATTTTTATCAATAATGATCTAGATTTAGCAGTATCAGTAATTGATGCTGTGGGTTTCCTCAGTAATTGAGAAAGGCACTGTTCTCCTTAAACTAGGAGTGGTTTAAATTATTGTAGAACTGTGGCTACAATGAGTGGTTGAATTGATATATGCTAATGTTTCCCATCAGGTTCCAGTGCAGGCAGGGAAGTTTTGAGAACCTTGGAATCTCTTGACAGTGGAAAAAATTAGTTATTTCTAGGTATAATGTGCTTTAGTGGACATTATTTTCTAAACACTTATGTAGCTGAAAATATTTTTCTTCTGACACAGACATTAATTTGCTTTGGTATATTTCCTGAAGGGTATCAGCCATTTTTGCTTAGATTTATGCTTTCTTATTATTTAGCTTAGTGATTCTTAGACTTTAGCATGCAAAGCAATCACCTGCAGGTCTAGTTAAAACACAAATTGCTAGTCCTACTTCTAGATTTTCTGATTTACTAGGGTAGGGTGGGACCTGAGAATTTTCAATACTAATAAGTATGCTTGTAGGTGGTGCTGATGCTGTTGCTATGGCACTTTACTTTTTGAACCACAGATCTAGAGTTAGTGTTGTGGAAGATAAATTTAATTTATCTAGTTTAATTTTTGTTAAATTTTATGTTACTCCCTGAATGCACATAGTAATATTTTACTTTAATAATGTAATTGAAAACTTTTACCCAATTTGATAGGGTGGGATTTTTGTTTTTGTAGCAAATGTAATCACTTTAACATTAGATATTTAAGTGGTAAATATTGATATTTTGAGCTGTTTATGGATGCTCCTCAACTTGTGAGGGAGTTACATACTGATAAACCCATCGTGAGTTGAATTTTTTGTATGGTGAAAGTGCATTTAATACACCTGACCTACCAAACATCATAACTTAGCCTACCCTACCTTAAATGTGCTGAGAACACTGGACATTAGCCTGCAGTTGGGCAAAATCATCTAACACAAAACCTGTTTTATAAGGAAGTGTTAAATAGCTCATGAAATTTATTGAATACTGTACTATAAGTGAAAGACAGAATGGTTGAATGTGTATGTGGATTTCAGTTTCTATTGGGTTTTGTATATTTATTCAGTTTCTCTTATAATTTCTCAAGCGAGTACTTTGTATTTTTCATTAAAAATATTAAATAGTATTATAATATTTTATATCTTGATTTTCTGGACCATTTAGCAGGAATAGAGTTGTATTGGGAAGATAGTGTTGGGAAGGTGATGCTTTTTGTTATTGTACTTGCTGCTGTATGAAAAGAAATATAATGCTCTTCTGAGAGGAATTTAAATTTTATTCCTTACCTATATATATAAATAATAAATAAAAAATATAAATATATACATATACACACACACACACACACACACACACACACATATTTTTTTTCTTTTGAGACAGAGTTTTGCTCTTGTTGCCCAGGCTGGAGTGCAATGGCATGATCTTGGCTCACTGCAACCTCCGCCTACTGGGTTCAAGTGATTCTCCTGCTTCAGCCTCCCTAGTAGCTGGGATTATAGGCATGCACCACCACACCTGGCTAATTTTTGTATTTTTAGTAGAGACGGGGTTTCTCCATGTTGGTCAGGCTGGTCTCGAACTTCCAACTTCAGGTGATCCACCTGCCTTGGTCTCCCAAAGTGCTGGGATTACAGGCATGAGCCACCACACCCAGCCTCCTTACCTATATTAAGAAAATATACGAAATACATTTGGGAATTGTTTGGGGGCTTCCTGATATAGAGGTATTAGGGCCAGGCGTGATGGCTCATGCTCAGTGCTTTGGGAGGCCGAGATAGGAGGATCGTTTGTGGCCAGGAGTTTGAGACCAACCTGGGCAACATGACCAAACTCTGTCCCTATTAAAAACAAAATTAAAAATTAGCCAGGTATGGGGGCGTGCCCATGTAGTCCTAGCTACTCAGGAGGCTGAGGCAAGTGGATCACTTGAGCCTAGGAGTTCAACGTTATAGTGAGCTATGAGTGCGCTGCTGCACTCAAGCCTGGGTGACAGTGAGATTCTGTCTCTCTTTCCCTCTTTCTCCCTTTCTATATATAAAAAGAAAAATTATTTTTAAATTCTAGAATGAAGTTGTCTATGCAAGGTGAACTAAAAGTACTGTCTGTAAATAAAAAATTATAATTTTCAACTACAGATTTATAAAGTTATAATTTAATACTTAGTACATTTTTGTGATTGAAAATTGCAAAAGACTGAACTAAATATTATATAATACATGGTTAAGTGTTCTATTTTTAAACGTGTTAATTAAAACTTTATTTTTCAGATTTTGGAATCTCTTTTTAAGGTATGTTCAATATATCACTTCTTAAGCCTACTAAAACTTAACACAGAAATACATGCCAATGAAGAAGAGGTTTCTAAATTTTAAGGGAGTAGAAGGAATTCCATACTTGCTGCTCTATATGTTTAAGAATTTTATGTTCATTTGTATAGTGCATTAGCCCCATTCTGAATCCCAAGTGATATTTCGGTCAGGGCTGATATTTGATGGATGAAGAGTCACAGACACAGACACACATTTATATAGATATTTATTTCATTGCTGAAATTTAAATAGTCACTATTTCTTTTTTTGCCCCTCTTTTGTTTTCTTAAAGTGGTTTCAGTGGCAAGTCAATCAGATGGAAGAAGTAAGTCTAATGTTTTAAAATTGTTAATATTTTTTAACTCATTTGAAAACCAATTTGGATTATGTATAAGTTAAGCATGTGTAAGTCATTTTTGAATAACTGTTGGTTATAAAGTAATCTTTTGATTTAGGTAGACAAGGAGTAAGTGGATGGGATAAAATATTTCTCAGTGACTTACACCCTATGTCCCTGCATATATCTGGTGTACTCCAAGTTTGACTGACACATGTTTTTTCCTAAAATTGAATAATGGAAACTAAGTTATCATTTTTTTCCAATTTACATAAAAGGGCGATGAGAGAATCTTTCACTTTAAAACTTTCTACCATATTTAAAAAAATCATGCTAAATGATGATGTATGTATAGACATAAAATTATGTATCGATTTTCTATAGATGAAATATGTTATTTTAATGATGTTCTTTTACACTTTTGATTCAGGTACTTTACCATTAGTTTGAGAACTACTGGTCTCAAACTAGGGGCTTAGGGGCTTTTAATTCTACTTTGGAAAACACTTTATATATGCTGTTAGTATATTGGAATGATTTCCAGGGTAGCTTTACTGATTTACAGAATTATTTTAGTTCTCATTTGGTCACACTTATGGTTCAGTCCAATTAAACACTCTTGAAGCCCAGGCTTTTCAAAGAAAAGAGGCCAGTTTCTTTGGGGGTGTAAAGTTAAAGGATAAATATAGATAGAACCTTAAATGCATGAACTGGGACTATATCCTAGCATCTTCTCATTGTTTTATCTCTGGTCCCAGAATAGAAGACTTTCATGGTCTACATACTCTTTGCTTTAGGATACATTTGATTGACATTGGAAAAGTGTTAGTCATTCTTTGATTATGGCATAGTGGTCATTATCCTTCCAGAGAGGTAGGGTTAAAGTGAAGTCTACTATTCCTCTACCCTCTTTTAAAAGGTGTTCTTCTTTGCAACTTTGGAAACTCATCTTGTCATCTTCTTTTCATCCATCAACCTCTTTTTATTATTTTATTAATGGGTTTACTTTTACTATTCTTTTACACTCAGTCCTGTCAATGTACATGACCTATCCAAAACCCTGGCCTCTTACTTTCTTGACTTCCTCATCTCCAAAGATCCCTTGGCCTCCACTTCCAGTCACACTGTGCACCTTGTCATTAACAAAATTACTTTATTTTAAAAATCACTAATTTAGGCAACTTATTCTTGAACTATAAATTTCTGTTTTTCCAATTATTACTTTAAATACTGCTCTGGCTGCCAAACACTTGGAATACTCTAAATGTAAGTCATTGGTTGGAACTCCTTCAATTCCTGCTACCTAACAAAATATTAACATCTGTACTCATTTTCTCTTTCATTTTTCCTGTTAAGACAGATATATTGTTCTTTCTTATACATATGACTAATTATTTCGCTTCTATTTTGGATTTCATATCCTCTGGTCTTCTCAAGATTCTGTGTTTGTTTGTTTGTTTGTGTTTTTGAGACAGGGTCTCATTCTGGTTGCCCTGGCTGGACTGCAGTGATTTGATCTCGGCTCACTGAAGGCTTGACCTCCTGGGCTCAGGTGATTCTCCAACCTCAGCCTCTCAAGTAGCTGGGACCACAGGTGTGAGCCACCATGCCTGGCTAATTGGTATTTTTTTTAAATAGAGATGAGGTTTCGCCATGTTGCCCAGGCTGGTCTTGAACTCCTGGACTCATGCAATTCCCTCGCCTCTGCCTCCCAAAGTGCTGGGATTACAGGTGCGAGCCACTGTGCCCTGCCATGCATTCTCAAGAACTTTGATTAATTAATTATTCTCTCTTGTATATTCAATTTCTCTCATTAAATTTTATCCTTCCTTTCAATTTTTAAATATGCTCTTTTATCTCTCATTTGATCCACATTCCTCTCTAAAGGCCTATTTCCATGTCCTCTATTAGCCTGTTTTAAAAAAATTATTTTGTATGCAAATTTACTCATATTAGGGAAACAGTCATTAGATTATTACCAGGGTGTAAAGGCAAAGCAGATTTATAAGCAAGTGGAGAGAAAAACAGAGTAGACAGTCTTTGAACAATGAAACTAATTGGGTCTTTTTTTTTTTTTTTTTTTTTTAAGTATTCAATGAATAAACTGGCACCTAGTGAAGAGATTAATCTGGGCACTCTTTCCTTGTAAGAGACAACTAAGGGTATTAAGTAAAACAATTAGAGTTGTTTATGGATTTCCTGTAATAACCCTTAAGAGTTTAGCCATGGAGCATGTGTCACACATTCAGAGCCACATTTATTTGTATATTAATTTACTATACACTATGCTCTTATTTCCCAAGCATTTCTCAATCTATCCAGACTGAATTCTGTCTCTCTGACAAGTAAAACATTCTCTCCATATGGTTCCCAGTAAATTGTATGTTGTTAAATTAAACAGACTTTTTTTTTTTTTTTGCCTCAGCTATAATTAATATTATTGATTGTGCCCTCATTTTTGAAACACTATTCCTTTGGCTTCTGTGAATTACATTTTCCTGGCTATTGTTTTACCTCTTTGGCTATCTTCTTTTTAAAGTCTCCTCCTTAACCCAACCAGTAAATGTTGGAGTACCTCAAAGTTTTATCCTATGCCTTTTTTCTTTTTGCTCCAAACTTTCTCCCTAGGCAGTCTCATCCAGTTTTTCCATTCAAGTATTATCTTTATGCATGTAATTTAGAAACATATACCTTTTGCTCAAAGTGTTTCTCTGAACTCCAGGGTTTGTATATAATTGCTTACTTGACTATTCCACCTCAGGTGCAGTGGGTCAGAAATATGAATTTTTTCCTCCTAAACTCTTCTAATGTTCCCTATCTTAGTGAATGAGTACTATTTATCAGATTGGGTAAATGTGAAATGTGGAAACCATTCCTGACAACTCACTTCCATCTATTCCTGATATTTAATCTATCCACAAGTCCTCTGGGTTTTACTTTCTAAATAACTGTCAGATGTGTCCACTTTTCTCTGTGTCTACACCTTATTGTTAGTTACTATCATATCCATTATGCCTGAAATCCCAACTGGTGCATTCATAATCACCAGGAGGAACCCCCACTACACAGTATACTTCTGATCTGGAATTTCAAGTTTTTCAATGTTTAAACCCATCATTGCTTATCTTAAATATTTTATTAATTTGGTATACCAGATACATTATCTAAAGGTTTGTATTATCTGCTGTTTTTCAAGGAGTGTTTCTCTCTTTTTTTTTTTTTTGTAAATTTTATTTTAAGTTCAGGGGTACATGTACAGGTTTGTTATTTACGTAAACTCATGTCACAGGTATTTGTTGTACAGATTATTTCATCACCCACATATTAAGCCCAATACCCAATAGTTATCTTTTCTGCTCCTCTCCTTCCACCCTCATGTAGACCCCAGTGTCTATTGTTCCCTTCTTTGTGTTCATGAGTTCTCATCATTTAGCTCCCACTTGCAAGTGAGAATATGCAGTATTAGGTTTTATGTTCCTGTGCTAGTTTGATAAGGATAATGGCCTCCAGGTCCATCCATGTTCCTGCAAAATACATGATCTCATGCGTTTATATGGCTGCATAGTATTCCATGGTATATATATACCACATTTTCTTCATCCAGTCAACCACTGATGGACATTTAGGTCGATTCCATGTCTTTGCTATTGTGAATAGTGATGCAGTGAACATACACATGCACGTGTCTTTATGACAGGATGATTTATTTTCCCTTCGGTGTATACCTAGTAATGGCATTGCTGGGTCAAATGGTAGTTCTGTTTTTAGATATTTGAGGAATCACCATACTGTTTTCCACAACAGGGAACTAATTTATACTCCCACCAACAGTGTATAAGCAATTTTTTCTCCACAACCTTGCCAGCACCTTTTATTATTACTTTTTTACTTTTTAATAATAGTAATTCTGACTGGTATGAGATGGTGTCTCATTGTGGTTTGATTTGCTTTTCTCTAATGATCAGTGATGTTGAGCTTTTTTTCATATGATTGTTGGTCCCATGTATGTCTTCTTTTGAAAAGTATCTATTCATGTCCTGTGTCCACCTTTTTTTTTTTTTTTCTTTTTTTTGAGACAGAGTCTTGCTCTGTCGCCAGGCTGGAGTGCAGTGGCACGATCTCGGCTCACTGCTACCTCTGCCTCCTCGGTTCAAGCAGTTCTCCTGCCTCAGCTTCCCGGGTTCAAGCAGTTCTCCTGCCTCAGCCTCCCAAGTAGCTGGGACTATAGGTGTATGCCACCATGCCCAGCTAATTTTTTTTTTTTTTTGTATTTTAGTAGAGACAGGGTTTCACCATGTTGCCCAGGCTGGTCTCAAACTCCTGAGCTCAGGAATCTGCCTGCCTCAGCCTCCCAAAGTGCTAGGATTACAGGCGTGAGCCACTGCGCCTGGCCTTGTCCACTTTTTAATGGTGTTGTTTGTTTGCGTCTTATAAATTTGCTTAAGTTTCTTATAGATGTTGGATATTAGGCCTTTGTCAGATGAATAGTTTGCAAATGTTTTCTCCCAATTTCTAGGTTGCCTGTTTACTCTGTTGATAGTTTCTTTTGCTGCACAGAAGCTCTTAAGTTTAATTAGATCCTATTTGTTAATTTTTGCTTTTGTTGCAATTGCTTTTGGCGTCTTCATGGAGTCTTTGCCCATTCCTGTGTCCAGAATCATATTGCCTAGGTTGTCTTCCAGAATTTTTATAGTTTTGGGTTTTACATTTAAGTCTTTTATTCATCTTGAGTTAATTTTTGTATATGATGTAAGCAGTGAGTCCAGTTTAAATCTTCTGCACATGGTTAACGAGTTATCCCAGCCTCATTTATTGAATAGGGAATCCTTTTTTCATTGTTTGCTTTTGTCAGGTTTGTCAAAGATCAGATAATTGTAGGTGTGCAGCCTTATTTCTGGCTTCTCTATTCTGTTCCATTGCTCTATGTGTCTGTTTTTGTGCCAGTACCATGCTGTTTTGGTTACTGTAACCCTATAGTATAGTTTGAAGTTGGGTAGTGTGATGCCTCCAGATTTGTTCCTTTTGCTTTGGATTGCCTTGGCTCTTTGGGCTGTTTTTGGTTCCATATGAACTTTAAAATAGATTTTTTCTAGTTCTGTGAAGAATTTCGTTGTTAGTTTGATAGGAATATCATTGGATCTATAAATTTACTTTGGGCAGTATGGCCATTTTAATAATTTGATTCTTTCTATCCATGCACATGGACTGTTTTTCCATTTGTTGGTATCATTTCTGATTTCTTTGAGCAGTGTTTTGTAGTTCTCCTTGTAGAGATTGTTCACCTCCCTGGTTAGCTGTGTTCCTAGGTATTCTTTTTGTGGCAATTGTGAACGGGATTGGCTCTTGATTTGGCTCTTGGCTCGACTGTTGTTGATGTATAGGAACGCTAGTGATTTTTGTACATTGACTTTGTATCTTGAGACTTTGCTGAGGCTGTTTATCAGCTGAGGGAGGTTTTGGGCCAAGACTTTGGGGTTTTCTAGATACAGGATTATGTTGTCTATAAGCAGGGATAGTTTGACTTCCACTCTTCCTATTTGGATGCACTTTATTTCTTTCTCTTGTCTGATTGCTCTGACCAGGACTTTCAATACTGTGTTGAATAGGAGTGGTGGGAGAGGGCTCCTCAAGGAATCTTTCTTAAAGTGTAGTTGGTAGAACATGTTTAAATGTCACCCAAGATACCTGTTATAAGTGCACGTTACTGGATTAGATTTCTTTTGTGAGTCTGTGAGTTAGGAATCTACTGCTTCAACAGGTAGGAAACAAGGGATTCTCATGCACACTAACATTTGAGAATCTTGTGATAATCTTTTTACTGCTGACAAAATTTATTGTCAGTACATGCTGGCGAGGTTAATGTCAGTGATCATGTTGCATTACATGTTGCATTAACAGAGATACATGTGGAAACCATTAGAGTATATGGTGAGCTGCACCAGAGAAATGTAGGCTGAGCCTGCAGTAGCCTGTACTTTTCAGAGTTGTCCTGCTGGAATCTGTGCCCCAAGGTCTTTCTGAAGAAACCATTTAGCTGATAACCCACTGTCTATATTCCATACTCTTTTAGTTCTGTGACTTCATCTTTTTTCCCAGAAAGGACTTCTGTTAAAATTTAATGTCTATTGGGAAATGTAATGTATCAAGAGTCTAATCAAGGGACAAAAACCACACGTAATTTGGTTAGGGAAAGTTTGATATAAAGAATTATTGTAACAGAGGAATATCTACTGAAGGATATTGATAGACATTCTACTAAAGGAGTAAAGATAATTCTAATGAATACAGGAGTAGAAGATAGAGGGAACAACTTCAACTCCTAGGGTGGAATCAGAATATGAATATCCCCAATCATTCCCTCCCAGCAATGCAGGGCTAAGGTGCAGAACTTCTGAAGAGGGAGCAGCTTTCATCACTACATGGCAGAGAAGTTTGCTGGGCTGCGAGGCTGGTGGAGCTTGAACTCACTGGGAAGCTGTCCATGAGGGTGGTACACTTAGGAATCTGCCCTCTGTGATGCTAGGAAAGCCACCTTCCAGAGAGGTGCTGTACTTCCTGCTGGGAAGCTGTTCACAAGGGTGATATGTTGGAAAACTTCCCTAAGGGAGGCTCTGCACTGGTGAATTTTGCTACAAAGTTCTGGGGGAAGCTGCCCATAGGAATCTGCCATGACAGGGACCTTACCAGGAAGTCATCCATGAGCTGATGCTGTTGAAATTTTCTGGGGGTGAGTACTATAAAATATACTACATACTGCCTGAGGAAGAAGCAGAGAGAGACACGAAACTAGGAAGAGAAGCTTCTTCCTCTTCCAATGCCTCTTCAGGATGCTCTGCTGAAAAAGGTTAACATCAGACCACCGGTCAAGGAAGAAATATTCCACTATCTCAGACAACACAATGAAGAATAGATTGTTGAGGTGAGACACAGTAAACTGATGACATTATTTTTGACTCAATTTATGATTTGTGGCTTCTTATTTGGGATCTTTCCTTTGTCTATAAAGTTTCCATAGGTCTCCTGCTTCCCTTCCATCTATTCTGTGTTCCTTGTCATATCTTCCCTACACCCAAGCTCAGACTTCTAGTGTGTTGCCCAGCATTTACTTCCTGCTGTTACATCCTACTCTCATTCCACTCATTCCAAAAATGAAGTCTCTGTTCTAAATCCCCAATGCTGGAATTTATCTTTGCTAAGTCCTTGACTTCATTTTTTCTCCAACTTTTCCTCCTAGCATAAGGATTGGAGATCTCTACATGGGTGGATCTCTGAATTTAGGGCAAGCAATTATTTTAGCATTACTCTTGTAAATATTCTGTGTCATTTTCCTATCAAAACTTTCTGACCCCAATTGCTGTTCTGCTTGTTTATGTCTCCACACATTGGCTGTTTGTAGGTTTCTTTTGCTGTGGTTTCTGGACACTCATTCTTGCTGAATTTTCTTTAAGTAAACTTATTACCTAGAATAGTAATTATGGTCATCTTATTCTGTGAATTGTGCTGTTTCTTCTCACTGCCTGTTATTTTTTAGCTTGGTCTATTCTAAAGGTCTCAAGACACACAACTATGTCTCAGTCTTCCCCACGCAGACTGGAAAAATGCTAGTTCCATAGACTTTTATATTTTAACTTCTGGGAGTTAGTAATAGACAGTATTACCTTTGAGAAAAAATTATTATCTTTAGTTAATTTACCACAGTAAGGGTATTCTTAAAAAGAATTTATGGGAAACAATTTAGAATTACTCTTGTAAATATTTTGAGTTGCATTTATTGTTATTGGACTTGCTTAAAATTCCTATATATTTTAACATTAAACAGATTATTAGATTTCAGGTTTTACATGTAAAAACCATCACTGAGCTGTAATTCTGTTCATAGATAATTGCTCATATAAATACATTTGTAAAATATTATAGCATTACTTGGCTATAGCTATAGATAAGAATAATATAAAAATTACTTTGATTTAATAAAGGAAATAATGAAATTTATTTGAGGTATGGGAACAAAATGGGTATTTACTAAGTAACTGGTTAATTTTATTATTTTAGATAAGTAAAGATCAAACTCTTTTACAAGCAGAGCCTCCAGAACCTGACAAAACAGTCACTTTAAGTATTGCACAAATAGTACGCCTTTTACAAAGATTTGAAGAACTGAAGAATCGCCTTAAACAGAGGTCTAAATCCTCCTGGAAAGTCATGTTGTCTAAAACCATGTAAGTGAAATATCAGAACTAATTGAATCAAAAACAATAAGAAATGGTATATAATTAGCACTGAATGTAAGATAATGAGTCAGATATGATGGCTGTACACAGGGCTTCTTAGTCAAATCAGGTCTAGTCAACTTGTTTCTATTTGCAATTTTTAATAATCTGAGATGTGCAATACAGGAGACATTAGCTGCATATGGCTATGCAAATTCAATGTAGAAAATCAGTTTCTTAGTCACACTAGCCACATTTCAGGTGCTTAGTACCCACATGTGGCTGTTATTAGAAAGTTATATTGGACATTGCTAGCTTTGAAATATCCGGCTCATAAATTCTTTTCTCAGTTTGATTAGGTAACTCCTAGTAATAAATAGGAAACTAAGATCTAATGAAATACTTCATTGTTGATGAACAAGTTCATTAAAAATTATATCAACAGCTTATCCAAGTAAAAGTTTTACATTTATAAGCAGCCATGCTTTTGCATTAAACAGACAAAACATTATTTTTTAGTGTTAAAATAGAATATACGTACCCATAGTTGGGAGGGACCACTAGTTATGCAGTTACGTTAGTGATACCTCTGTCAATAACTGAAAATAATGAAGAGAGTGGTACTTGAGTTGGCTCCTGAGGATTGCATAACTAGATCCTTGGCTCAGAGGTTAAGGTTTAGACCATATTCATACTTGACATTTAAGTGTCTGCTGTGTACTAGGGATTTTTGTAGTAACTTTACATGTATAATCTTTGATTTTCATAACTACTTTATGAGAAAGGTACTATTATACCCCAATTTTAATGAGAATAAACTGAAGCCAATAGAGGTTAAGTAATGTACCTGGCTGAGTTCATATAATAAGTAAGTGGATGAAACAGGTTTTGACCCAAAGGTCAGCTAGTCTCACTCCAGAACTTATGTCCTTCATCATTATATGACTGATAATAATATTTGACAAAAAGATACCTCATGTTTCTAACAATTTATTTTTGCTATTTTTGTTGTTAATGTTTTTGGTATACTTAATTATATTCATGGCCTACATGGAATTCATATAATTGCATAGTTTAGTTTGACTTTTCAACTTGTAACTTGTAAGTTTACCTTAGTGTCTGTGAATAAAGATTAAAGATATGTTTAATTTTTATTTTACAAACTTCATATGTCTAGACTACACATTTTAGTTCTTATTTTAGTGTAATTTAAACTCTTACTCTTTGATATATTAAAAAATGTTTCATTTATTGAACGTGAACAGGGATGAAGAAAATCGACCAGAAGCAGTGAAAAGTTGTGAAGCTGTAGCACAGAAAATTGAAGGTGATAATATTTTATACATGTTTGTCCTTAAAAATTTTATTAAAAATTTTGTTATTATTTTTATCTTTTAAAGAGAGAGTCTCACTCTGTCACCCATGCTGGAGTGTAGTTGCATGAATATTGCTCACTGCAGCCTCAAACTCTTGGGCTCAGGCGATCCTTTCTGCTCAGCCTTTTGAGGTAGCTAGGACCACAGGCACAAGCCACTGAGGCCAGCTGATTTTTTTTTGTACACATGTAGGTCTCACTATGTTGCCCAGACTGGTCTTTAACTTCTGGCCTCAAGAGATCCTCCTACCTTGGGCTCCCAAAATGTTGGGATTACAGGCATGAGCCATTATGCCCAGCATGTTTGACTTTTATGGGGTTTCCTAAGTGTATTAACATTTTGAAACTTAAAGTAAAAAAATTTACAGTTATAAAATTATACAATGGTAAATTTAGATAATATTTAATAGTGAGTTTGATATTTTAATAAAAGTTTTTATTATGTTCCAGATTCTGGGAACATACAAAATGAATACAATGTGTATCCCCTGTGCAGACAACAATGTGGTTGTTACTTCCATAAAACTTACAGCTTAGTAAGGATACAAGTACATTGTCTAGCATGTTAGTACAGTGTTATGCATGATAAAGGCATGTGGAATTTGCATTGGGTCCATAGAAAGGAGCAATCTGTTCAACCTAAGGAGTTAGGAAGACTTTATGCAACTTTAAAGGGAGAATAGGATTTAGTAAAGTAAAGAAGGGAAATATTTGGTATTTTAAGAAGACAATAGCATGAACAAACAACATACATAGAGAATTACAACTGGATTGGTATTAGAGTAAGAAGCGATATATAGGGATGAAGTAACAGAGGGCCAGTCATAGTGGGAATGGATGCTCTGCTAAGGAGCTTAGACTTTTTAAAAAAATAATAAAGAATCATTGAAGATTTTTTGTAGGATTTAATTTTAGAGAAGTTTTTTCCTGACTGCACTGTAGAAGCTAGATTTGGGGACTAGGAGTAGGAAAGGGAAGTTATTATATCTTAGATGTGTGATAAATACCTATATTCAAAGACTAGTGAAAAGAAGAAGGGAGTCAGGTTTGAGAAATATTTACTTGAAAGTTGGTGACCGGATATAGAAGGAAGACTAGATAATGATGGTACAATCAACGAATATAAGTGAATACAAGAGCAAAAACAAGTTTTGGTGAGAAAGTGGTTTATAATCAGCTGTTACACACATTCTTTTAAATGTTACTATTTGTTGCCTGATTGGGAAGATCTGCAGTGTTGGCAGCTATTATTTTTTCAAAGTTTTCTTTCTTTTAATAAGTTCCTAAAATTAAAACAATAAAATTTAAACTTAATTAGTATATATAATTGCCGTTTGAAATTTATAGTGACAAATACACTTTTAATTATTTCAGAATTCATAGAAGCCCACTCAACTGATGAATTTAAAGGTGTTTCTGCAACAGAACCACGTAAGTTTCCATTCATTAAAGCATTATTGTGATAATAACCTCTGTTACATTAATTTCTATAATTTAAAGTAATAATTATTAGATTAACAGTGCAGACTCCCCGCCTTGGAGTTTGGAGCCATACAGTTGAGCTGGTTGTCAAGCAACTATTAAAATTCTTAGTTAAGGATATGTGTTATTGAAACTAGTTTTTTTTTTTTTTTGAGACAGAGTCTTGCTCTGTTGCCCAGGCTGGAGTGCAGTGGCATGATCTCAGCTCACTGCAACCTCTGCCTCCTGGGTTCAAGTGATTCTCGTCTCTCAGCCTCCCGAGTAGCTGGGATTACAGGCATGCACCACCACACCCAGCTAACTTTTATAACTTTTGTGTCTATCTATCTATCTATCTATCTATCTATCTATCTATCTATCTATCTATCCATCCATCTATCTATCTATTTTTTTAGTAGAGAGAGTTTCACTATGTTGGCCAGGTTAGTCTCGAACTCCTGACCTCAGGTAATCTGCCTGCCTCAGCCTCCCAAAGTGTTGGGATTACAGACGTGAGCCATTGCGCCCGGCCTAGATTAATTTTTGAGGAGTGCATGTTAGTACATGGAATGGAGGATTATGAGTTGTGATTAGAACATAATACTGAAACGTTGGCAGGCCTTTGAGGTGTAGCAGTGACAAATTTAAGTAGTTTGTAGATTTTGTTACTAGGAATTATATCCACAAATGCTTTCACTGCAGATGAGTAGTTGTCAGTTCAGGAATATAAAGAGCTGCTAGAGCTTGTCTGTTAAGTTTATGACTACTTGTCAATAGAAGGGAGTTGTGATTAGAACATAATACTGAAACGTTGGCAGGCCTTTGAGGTGTAGCAGTGATAAATTTAAGTAGTTTGTAGATTTTGTTACTAGGAATTATATCCACAAATGCTTTCACTGCAGATGAGTAGTTGTCAGTTCAGGAATATAAAGAGCTGCTAGAGCTTGTCTGTTAAGTTTATGACTACTTGTCAATAACTTACTCATGTCTTAGGGCTGGAGAGAATTTTGAAATAATAGTGTAAAGCACACTGTGGAATACAGTTCAAAAGTAGAAAATAATGTTTGCTTGGAACAGGTTGCTGGGAATTCTGCTCTCTTTCAACTTCAGCTTTAAACCCAAACCTTCATGTTTAAACCAAGGACAGCTGCACATCTTACAGCACTCCCAAGTTCTGTAGAGATGTCTGATCGAAGAGAGGTCTGACTGACTAGGTGGGGTAGAAAGGTGTATAGAACTTTGGACTAGATAGTGAAAACCTCTGTATACATCAAGGGGAATCCCTTGTACATCTATGAACCTCTCAAGAGCTCTCTCTTTTTCTCTCTCTCAGTCTGTATGGTTGCCTTCCTTCTAATATTGTACCTTGGCTTCCACAAACACTGAACTTTGTTTCCTAAACTCAAGGCAACCAGTATGCTCTGAGTTCCCCTTCCCTATAGTGTGGACTGGCAATTCCAGACAGCAAATTGGGGTCATCACAGGGCCTTTCCACTTTATTACCATATATTCTGCTTTCACTGTTTTCCAATTTCTGAATACCACTGTTTCATGTATTTTTGTCCAGTATTTAAGTGGTTTAAGGTAGAAGAGTAATTCTGGTCCCTGATGCTCCATCATGGATGAAAGCAGAAATCCCTGTACTCACTCATAGTTTAATGGAATACATCTTCCAATCAGAAAACCACATTTCAAAAGGATAAAATATGGTTGAGATTTTACTCATGGTTCTAAAGGGGAGCAGAGGACAGAATTATATTGTGTAATATGGAGAAAATGCTTTGCAAATTCATAAGATCTTTTTCCAATGGCGGTTGTTTCAGTTTCTTAGCTCTATTAGTATAGACTTACTCTCTTTATTGCTGCGTTTTACTTGTTCACTATCATTTTCTTTTAAAAGTACCTCCTCTCTTCTTCTCTGGCCACACTTAATTCTCTCTTCCCTTCCTGTTTCCTAAATTCTATTAAATCTTATAGCCTGGCTGGCAAGACGGAAGCTACCTTTGTATTGCACTCTGGTTTTGCTTTTAGGTCACAATTTCATCTTGATGTTGCTTCATTTAATAGACTATTTTTTAGAGAAGTTTTAGGATCACAGAAAAATTGAACAGAAATTATAGAGAGTTCCCATTAGCGCACTCCCCCCACACCCCGCTTACTGCATAAAGCTTCCCCTATTATTAACATTTTGCATTAATGTGATGCATTTGTTATGGTTGATGAACCAATTTTGATACATTATTATTAACTACAGTCCATAGCATACATCTGGTTTGCTTTTTGCCTTGTACAGCTCAGTGGGTTTTGACAAATGTATCATGTCATGGATCCACCATTACAGTGTCACACAGAATAGTTTAATTGCCCTAAAAATCCCCTGTGTCCCACCTATTCACCTCTTCCTCCATCCACCTGAATCTCTGGAAACCACTAATCTGTTTATTTACTGTTTCGATAGTATTTCCTTTTCAAGAATGTTGTATATTTGATATTAGTCTTTCTTTTACCTAATAATGTACAGTTAAAGTGCCTCCATGTCTTTCAATAGTTTGACAGTTTATTTCTTTTTATTGCTGATAAATAATAAATTTATGGATTTACTACAATTTATCCATTTACCTGTGAAAGGGCATCTTGGTTGTTTCCATGTTACGGCAATTATAAATAAAGCTGCTATTAACGCTTTTGTGCACGTTTTTGTGTGGATGTAAGTTTTCAGCTCAATTGGGTAAACACAAAGCAGCATGACTGCTAAGTCATATAGTAAGAGTTGTTTAGCATTATAAGAAACTGCCAAATGAGCATGCAGAGGGGCTGTACCATTGTACATTCCCCCCTACAATTGAGGAGAATTCTTGTTGCTCCACATCTTTGTCAGCATTTAGAATTGACAGTGTTTGTGCTTTTAACCATTCTAATAGTTTTGTAGTGATATTTCATTGTTTTCATTTGCAATTCCATGATTATGCATGATGTTGAGCATCTTTTCATATGCTTATTTGCCATCTGTTTCATTTCTTTGGTGAGGTGCTCAGATCTTTTACCTATTTTAAAAATTGGGTTGTTTGTTTTCTTATTGTTGAGTTTTAAAAGTTCTTTTTATATTTTGGATACAAGCCTTGTATCAGATATGTGTTTGGCAAAGATATTCTCTCAGTCTGTGGCTTATCTTTTCATTCTTTTAGCAGTGTCTTTTGCAGAGCCAGAATAAAGTCAAACTTACCATTTTTTTTTAATTTCATGATTGTGCTTTAGGTGTTATATGTAAAAATTCACCTTCAGACTCAAAGTTACCTAGATCGTCTCTTCTACTGTCTTGTAAAAGTTTTATAGTTTTGCATTTTATAATTATGATCCATTTTGAGTTAATTTTTTTTTTTTTTTTTGAGACGAAGTCTCACTCTGTCGCTGGAGTGCAATGGTGCCATCTCGGCTCACTGCAACCTCTGCCTCCCCATTCAAGCGATTCTTCTGCCTCAGCCTCCCTAGCAGCTGGGACCACAGGCATGCGCCACCATGCCCGGCAAACTTTTGTATTTTTAGTAGAGATGGAGTTTCACCATGTGGGTCAGGCTGGTCTCGAACTCCTGACCTCGTGATCTGCCTACCTCAGCCTCCCATAGTACTGGGATTACAGGCGTGAGTCACTGTGCCTGATCCATTTTGAGTTAATTTTTGTGAGAGGTGTAAAGTCTGTGTCTAGATTCATTATTTATTATTACTATTTTTTGCATTTGGATGTCCAGTTGTTTCAGCATCATTTGTTGAGAAGACTACTCTTTCTTCATGGAGTTGCCTTTGTTCCTTTGCCAAAGATCAGTTCTGTATATTTGTGAGTCTATTTCTGGGCTTTTTATTCTGTTTGCTTGTCTGTCTATTTTGGCAGTGCTACATGTCTTGATTACTTTAGCTTTTAGTAAGTATTGAAGTTGGGTAGTGTCAGTCCTCCAATTTGTTGTTCTTCAACATTGTGTTGATTTCTCTGGGTCTATTGCCTTTCCATATAAACTTTGGAAACAATTTGTTGGTATCCAAAAAATACCTTGCTGGAATTTTGATTGAGATTGCATTGAATCTATGGATTAAATGGACAAGAACTTGTATCTTAACAATATTGTATCTTTCATTCTATGAACATGAAATCTCTCTCCATTTATTTAGATCTTACTTGCTTTCTTTCATCAGAGTAATGAACTTTTCCTCATATAGATCTTGTACATATTTTCTTTTAGATTTACACTGAAGTGTTGAAATTTCAGTGCTACTATAAATTGTGTTAATATCTATAATTTAAAATTCAAATAGTTCATTTCTGGTATATAGGAAAGCAATTGCAATTAACTTTTGTGTCCTATACATTTGCAATAATTGTTTATTACTGGATATTGGTGATTCTTTGAGATTTTCTATAGAGACAGTCACATTATCTAACAGACAGTGCTACTTCTTCCTTCTGATTTTCTTATCTTACATTATTGCATTAGCTAGGACTTCCAGTATGATGTTAAATAGCATGGTGAAAATGGGCATGCTTACCTTCTTCCTGATCTTAGGGAGGAAGCATTTAGGATTTCACTATTAAGTATGATGTTAGCTGTAAACTTTTTGTAGATTTTTTTTATCAAACTGAGGAAGCTTACTTCTATTTTATTTATAATTTACAAAGAGTTTTTTAAAATTATGGATAGGTGTTAGATTTTGTCAAATACTTTTTCTGCATTTATTGATATGATCATATGATTTTTCTTCTTTAGCATGTAGATTACATTAATTGATTTTTGATTATTGGACCAGCCTTACATACCTGGAATAACCCATTTGGTTGTGTTGTGTAGTTCTTTCTATACATTTATGTATGTGATTTGCTAATGTTTTGTTGAGGATTTTCATACATGTATTCATGAAAGATATTCATCTATAGTTTTCTTTTCTTGTGATGTCTTTGTCCGGCTTTGGTATTGGAGTGATAC